TAAATCTTGTGCCCATTTAATCATAGCAGATTTCACAGTTTCATCCTGAGTATTCCATTTCAGCAACAAGTTATACATTCTTGACAAAGTCTTAGTAGTGGGATCTAACAGTTCTGTTTCCAATTTTGATTTCTCCACCTGGAAGCCAATTTTCTTATCCAAATTATATGCCTCCATTATCTGATAGTAATGGAGCCAGTCTCGCACTTTGTTTTTTAGTTTCTCAAAGCTCTGCAATTTCAATTTGTCTCCTTCCTGTTCCAAAATTTCCCAATATTTCGGCCATTTGGCCTCCATATTGAGCCTTTTCTGGGCCTTTGCTTCCATCGGTGACAACCACCTAGGGGTTTTGTTTTCCAATAAGTCCTTGTATCTTATCCAGACATTTAACAATGTTTTTCTAACAATATGGTTTTTAAATGCTTTGTGTGCTTTAACCTTGTCATACCATAAATATGCATGCCACCCAAAAACATTGTTGAAACCTTCTAAATCCAAAATGTCTGTGTTTTCAAGAAGCAGCTATTCTTTCAACCAGCAGAAAGCTGCTGATTCATAATAGAGTCTAAGGTCTGGCAGGGCAAATCCACCTCTATCCTTTGCGTCAGTTAGTATTTTAAATTTTATTCTAGGCTTTTTGCCCTGCCAGACAAATTTTGATATGTCTCTCTGCCGCCTCTTGAAACAGTCCATTTTGTCCACAATTTGCAATGTTTGAAACAAAAACAACATTGTACTAGTCTTTCTGGTGTCACAGAGCTCTTTGTTCATTTAACTGGACAAGACACCATTCATACAATTAGCAAATCTGTCAGTGCTTTTTAAAAATTAGAGTTGAGGGTTCCTGTCTTCCAGGAAACAAATCCATCTAAAGTAGCTTGAAAATAACATCAAAATACATTCATAAAATCACAACAAGTAATATTGGAATACCTTAAGTCATCATGATCCTTACCACAAGCAATCTGGTGAAAGATTTTATTTGCCAAGTGCCTTCTTGGTAGTGGCGCCCGCCCTGTGGAACGCCCTCCCATCAGATGTCAAGGAAATCAACTATCTGACTTTTAGAAGACGTCTGAAGGCAGCCCTCTATAGGGAAGTTTTTAATGTGTGGTGTTTTAATTTCTTGGAAGCCACCCAAAGCAGCTAATGCTAAATTTATAAATTGAATTTCTAGTAACAGATGTACTTTGATTAAATCTCAGTGGTTGTATTTTCATACATTGTAGACCAACCTGTGACAATGCAGTGAAGGGCAGGATAACAATGCCTAAATAAAGTAAGATAAAATAAATAATCTTCACTGGCTAGATGTACCTAGATGTCTTGGGACCAGGTCACCTGAAATATCACCTACTCTCACTTCATAACCAGACCCTGAGATCTTCCTGGGATACCTTTCCCCACATTCCTCTGCTTAATGAATGAGAGGTGTACCTAGAGAGAGGTGCATTTTGGATACCCTTTTTTATGGGCTGCCCTCCCCAGAGGGACTCTCCTGTCACCTACACTATGGTCTAAAACTTTAAGGCACCAGGCAAAGACCTTTCTGTTCCCTTAATTACAATCCTTCTTTAAGTCAACCCTTCCTGGGTTTCATATGCTGATTTTAATTTGTTTTAGCTGCTTGGTTTTCTAGCTGAGGTTTGTTGGTGGGGTTTCTGCTGTTTCAATTTCAGTTCTTTGGGTTTTGTTTTGTTTTTAATGTTTCTGTTGTGAACTGTACAGTGGTACCTCGGGTTACAGATGCTTCAGGTTACAAACGCTTCAGGTTACAGACTCCGCTAACCCAGAAACAGTACCTCAGGTTAAGAACTTTGCTTCAGGATGAGAACAGAAATCGCGCGGCGGTGGCGCAGCGGCAGTGGGAGGCCCCATTAGCTAAAGTGGTGCTTCAGGTTAAGAACAGTTTCAGGTTAAGAATGGACCTCCGGAACGAATTAAGTTCTTAACCCGAGGTATCACTGTAGTTTGCATTTTATTATTTATGTTAGCTGGCCAGAGAACTTGGTTGGATGGGTGGTATACAAATGTAATAAATAAAATATAACAAATTACAT